GCGCGCACACACACACACACACACACACACACACACACACACACACACACACACACACACACACACACACACACACACACACGAAATAACCAAAATTCAGGATAGCCCGGTATCAGTGGCTCACACCTGTAATCCTAGCTACTAAGGACTAAGATCTGAGGATTGTGGTTCAAAGCCAAGCCCAGGCAGGAAAGTCCATGAGACTCTTATCTTTAATAAAACACCAGAAAACCAGAAGTGGCGCTGTGGCTCAAGCGGTGGAGTACTAGTCTTCATTTGAAGAGCTGAGGGACAGCACTCAGGCCCAGAGTTCAAGCCCCATAACCAACCAAAAAAAAAAAAAAAAAGAAATCCAAGATAAAGCATGGCTTAAGCAGTAGAGCATCAGCCTTGAGTAAAAAAAGCTAAGGAAGATCCTTCTGGCCCTAAATTCAAGCCTCAATACTGGCATGCATGCACACACACACACACATGCACACGCACATACACACACTAAGACATTTAGAAAATAATGCAAGTCTAATCTGAAATTTAGAAACACTAACCCAGCAATCATAAGCACTCTAGTGTACAGATGGTAGTTGCTAAATAATACCATTTCCCACTAAAAAGAAAATCAGAGCTTCTCTGAGAAATGGCTGATTTCAGGTCAGGGCAAAAAATAGAGGAGATAAGATGGGACATTACAGGAAGCAAGGAAGATGATAAACTAAAATTATAAGTGTTGTACCAAAATGATTCTGAAGTGGATTTAAATGTATTCCCACTGGCCAAAGACAGAACAACCAGAGCACCAAGGATAATAACACAGCAGACTGAAACATACCAAATGTATTTAAATTCATAACTTCATAGTGAGAGAAAAACAACCTAGTGGACAAAATCTTTAGGATGCTTAGTCAACTCATTATTTCATGAACTGATAAATAAAGGGGAACAATCAAGCATATATAAATTCTGCCTTTTCTACATAAACTGTGTCTCGGGGTTGCCAAATAACGAAAGGATCTATGTATTTTTTCTTTTTTTTTTTTTTTTGTTTGTCGTGGGGCCTGAACTCTGGGCCTGGGCACTGTCCCTCAGCTCTTCAGCTCAAGGCTAGTGCCCTACCACTTGAGCCACAGTATCACTTCCGCCTTTTTCTGCTTATGTGGTGCTGAGGAATCGAACCCAGGGCCTCATGCATGCAAGGCAAGCACTCTACCACTTAGTCACTTTCCCAGCCCAATGTATTCTAACTAATAACAAAGAAATCAAAGAATAAGGCCCTGTTTTCAACTCCCAATGGAATTCATGGCTGCAAACCACATGAGACCCACAACCAGACATTATAGGTTACCAGATGGACATAATACCACCATTTGTAAAAAAAAAAAAATCACAATCATACCAAACCAACTTCAAAACTTGAAACTAGGGCTTGGAATGTGGCTTAGTGGTAAAGTGCCTGCTAAGCAGGCACTGATACCACCTAAAAAAAATAATAAATAAAATTAAAATGAACAAAAAATTCTGAGATAAAAGAAAAACAGGTGGAAACGAGGGCCTATAGATTAAGTACACTTAAGAAACATACCAGCCAGGCACTGGTAATCTGAGCTACTTAAGGAAGTTGACATCTGAGAATTGAAATTCAAAGCTAGTCCAGACAAGAAAGTTTGTGGAACGCTGTCTCCAATTAAAACATTAGGCTAGAAGCATGGCTCAAGTTTTAGAGCACCAGCCTTGAGCAAAAAAGCCAAGTGAGAATGAAAGACTCTGAGTTGAAGCCCTAGACAGGAAGGAAGGAAGGAAGGAAGGAAGGAAGGAAGGACTGACTTAATCATCCTTATCTATCAATCACTTTGATTCCTAATTCAAGTAAGCAGATAATATGTGTATGTGACAATCAGGTACATATAATACCAATCATCATCCTTGATGTGATCATCAAGGAATTTTTCTTTTCTCTTTTTCTTTTCCTCTCTATTCTTCCCTACCCTCATCTCTTTCTTTAGTGCTAGAGATTGAGTTCAGGGCTTTGCACATGATAAGCAATCTTTCTACTACTAAGCTAAAAGAATCTCTGCTCAGGAATTATTCTTTTCAAGTATTTTATATCTTTTAGAGCAGAGGTGGGGAACAACTAGCCTATAGGCTGTGTAAAGCCCACAAAATCATTTGGTATACAAAGAGACAGGCACATGTATTTCTCAGTATATGAAGGCTCAATGGACTGTATTAATAATGTTCTATTGCCTTGTAATATTATAATATCCAAATGGCCAATGGCAAAAAAAGTCAAAATCTGTTTTAGATACATAATCTGTAATATTATTTAACAAGATATGATGTCTAAATTTTATCACAGAGTGTGTTGAGATACACATGAAACAAGTTTGAGAATGAGCTGATATTTGTTGAAATTGGTGATGACTATTATGAGGAAACATTTTACTATTTTACTTTGGCTCTGAAATTTTCCATAATAAGAATCCAAAACTAGCTAGGCGCTGGTGGCTCATGCCTGTAATCCTAGCTACTTAAGAGGCTGAGATCTGAGGATCATGGTTCAAAGCCAGTCTGGGCAGGAAAGGCTATGAGATTCTAATCTCCAATAAACCACCAGAAAAAAAAACAACAACTGGAAGTGGCGCTGTGGCTCAAGTGGTAGAGCACTAGCCTTGAGCTAAAGAGCTGAGGGACAGCATGCAGGCCCAGAGTTCAAGCACCATGACTGACAAAAAACAAAAAACTATGGACAAAAATCAACTCTCCCATCCTTGCTGACACTGACCATTGGGACAATATGAACATTACAAGGACAATGATTCCAATAGAACACTGTATGTGTTTTTTCCTATATGTACATACCATAAAGTTCAATTTCAAAATTGGGCTTAGTAAAAGATTAACAATTAATAACAGAACAATTGTAATGCACAGTATTAAAAGTTATGTGGGCTGGGAAGGTGGCTCAGTGGTAGAGTGCTTGCCTTGCAGGCATGAGGCCCTGGGTTCAATTCCTCAGCACCACATAAGCAAAAAAAGCTGGATGTGGCACTGTGGCTCAAGTGGTAGAGTGCTAGCTTTGAGCTGAAGAGTTGAGGGACAGCGCCCAGGCCCCATACAAAAGACAGAAAGAAAGAAAGAAAGAAAGAAAGAAAGAAAGAAAGAAAGAAAGAAAGAAAGAAAGAAAGAAAGAAAGAAAGAAAGAAAGAAAGAAAGAAAGAAAGA